TACAGACCTCAGCTCTCATGTTCATTGTGGTGCTGTTTGAGTCATCAGGACTAAAGGTGGATAGAAAGCTGGCTAGATTGTCAGATTCAGCGGGTAGTGATCAACGGCTCCATGTCTATTTGGCAGCCGGTTTCAAGCGGAGTGCCCCAAGGGTTGGTCCTGGGGCCGGTTTTGTTCAATATCTTCATTAATGATCTGGAGGATGGCGTGGACTGCACTCTCAGCAAGTTTGCAGATGACACTAAACTGGGAGGAGTGGTAGATACGCTGGAGGGTAGGGCTAGGATACAGAGGGACCTAGACAAATTAGAGGATTGGGCCAAAAGAAACCTGATGAGGTTCAACAAGGACAAGTGCAGAGTCCTGCACTTAGGACGGAAGAATCCCACTCACTATTACAGACTAGGGACCGAGTGGCTAGGCAGCAGTTCTGCAGAAAAGGACCTAGGGGTCACAGTGGACGAGAAGCTGGATATGAGTCAACAGTGTGCCCTTGTTGCCAAGAAGGCTAACGGCATTTTGGGCTGTATAAGTAGGGGCATTGCCAGCAGATCAAGGGACGTGATCGTTCCCCTCTATTCGACATTGGTGAGGCCTCATCTGGAGTACTGTGTCCAGTTTTGGGCCCCACACTACAAGAAGGATGTGGAAAAATTGGGAAGAGTCCAGTGGTGGGCAACAAAAATGATTAGGGGGCTGAAGCACATGAGTTATGAGGAGAGGCTGAGGGAACTGGGATTGTTTAGTCTGCAGAAGAGAAGCATGAGGTGGGATTTGATAGCTGCTTTCAACTACATGAAAGGGGGTTCCAAAGAGGATGGATCTAGGTTGGATATTAGGAAAAACTTTTTCACTAGGAGGGTGGTGAAGCACTGGAATGGGTTACTTAGGGAGGTGGTGGAATCTCCTTCCTTAGAGGTTTTTAAGGTCAGGCTTGACAAAGCCCTGGCTGGGATGATTTAGTTGGGATTAGGTCCTGCTTTGAGCAGGGGGTTGGACTAGATGACCTCCTGATGTCCCTTCCAACCCAGATATTCTATAACTCTGTGATTCTATGACGTTTACCCCCATGTTCTGCCCAAATCCCAGCTCAGGTGACAATAATATTCAGCCTCCCTGAAACTCCCCCTGCAGTTTCTAAGGGCTGGGGTATTGTTTGTTATTCCCTGGGCACTGACCCCACGTTCAGTGCTGCACAAGGGCAGTGGAAGGGACGGTCTCTGCCCATTGAGCTCACTGAGTAACGTAGCCCCAGACAATACAGTTCAGAAACATCAAGCCCCAGGTGAGGGCCACTCCTGTGATATGCAGAACATTGAGGTTGTTTTTAAATCATCTCCCATCTTTGGTGGCTCCTAGTCCAAAGGCTCTGCAGGACACATCTGCTTTTAGGGAGAGATTTAAATGAGTGGAGGGTGGTTGTGTGCAGCACAGGGAGAGGGAAATCCAAGCAGGAGGTGTGGCTTGGTCTGGGGCACCACTACCAGTACGGGAGAAGGACACCAGAGGGAACAATATTAGGAGGGTGGCACAGGAGGAGTCGGAACAGTGATGTAGGCAGTGTCACCATCCCCCACTTCCTGCTCTGTACCAAATTGCAGTGATTCTGACAGCTGCTGGGCTCCATCCCAGAAGTGGCTTCATTTCAGCAGTTGGTGCAGTGATCTCTGTGTAGCAGTGTCACCCTGTATATTCCTCAGTGAGATTTCAGGGCACAGTGCTGTATGGAAATGCAAGGTGGTATTATTTAATTTCCCCAATTGTCAGGATGAGGGATCCCAAGGAGGCTTTGCACATACGGGAATGAAGCTTTGCAGTCACAGCCCCCTATACCCAGCGGTATCTGGGGAATCACATGGTGCTACTAAAAACACAATTTCCTGATACACACTCTCTGTCTCTCCCTGCAGCAGTGGCTCCAGTGTTCATTGAGGTGCTGGGCCCCCGGGGTCAGGGGATTGAGCTGGTCTGTAGATCCGCAGGCTGGTTCCCCAAACCCGAACTCCAGTGGGTTGGAAAGAACTGGCAGAACATGGCGATGGAGACTGTGACCAACGTGACTCAGAACAGGGAGAACCTGTATAGTGTTGTGAGTCACGTCACTGTCACAGAAGGAGAAGACCATGGAGGCATCAGCTGCATAGTGCGGAATGGCCTGCTGGAGACCGAGCGACAATCGGCCATTCACCTCTCAGGTGAGTTCCCTCCCAGCCCCCCCATGCAGAAGGGGTGGTTGTTAGTACTGCCCAGAGTTATTAAGGCTGCTAAATTGTTATTGCTGTCAGTGTTGCTGTTCTTGAAGTTCCATGGATGCTCTTAATTTGGAGCAGCATGTCAATTCAGCAGACTTCAATGTTATTCATCTGAAAGAGCACAGGCTCCGTTCGGTGTTGAAGGTGCTCACCCAGGTTTATGGTCAACAAAACATGGTACTAGTGGCTCAAAGGAGCTACAGTTATACTAACGTGTGTGCTTGTGACATGGTACCTGCTCAGTCAGTGCACTAGGATGCTGTCCCCGAGACTAGTACAAAGATGCCCCTTCTATGACTTCTCCTTTTATACATTGATACTACCAAGTTGCCTATTTCACTCCAGACTTGGTTGGTGACCAACCCTTATCCATTATCCTGTCATCCCATCATTATCCTACAAGGGGTCAGTGTTTATCTGTACCATCTCTTATGAAAATGAAAGTGTTTACATAGTTACTTGAGAGATCTGTCGTGTTTTTGCACCATCCTCTCCAGTCAGGAATGTGCTTACCTGGTGTTAGCTAATACCTATTGTATTGTTATGTTTCCAAGGCCCAGTCTACTCTGGTTCACAGACTTTGGTTCACACTTTTAGTTATATGTAGGGCTCTAGCAAGGCTTATAGGGGTCACCAAGGGAATGTGGGGCCTGAGTCACTTGAGAATTGCACTCACCTAGGGCCTCTTTCTGGTACTGAAACAGGAAATGTCCTTCTAACCTGATTTATGGGGCCATTAGTGATGGAGATTTCTGTGATCTGGGCAAACTGCCTGTCAGGATCTGGGTTGAGTTTTGTGAAATGAACTCAATATCATTCTTGGAGGAGATGGTGCATTTGGTTGATAAAGGTAACTGTGCTGACATAGACTCAGGGTGTGTTTACATTAGAAATGATACAGCAGCAATGCGGTACTATAAACACTTACTACAGTGGTAGAAGGGGTCCTTCTGTGACTGTAATAAATCCACCTCTCTGAGAGGCGGAAGCTTGGCTGATAGAAGAACTCTTCCATCAACCTAGTTGTGTCTACACAGGAGCTTAGTTTGGCTTAAATACATTGCACAGGGAGATAAATTTTTCACAGCCCTTAACGATGTAATTAACCCAATCTAACTTTGTAGTGTAGACCAGGACTCAGACTCTGAAGAGCATTGGCTTAGTTCTGCATGAAACTCTGATAACAAAAATTAGCACTGTACAAAATCAAGGTAGCCCACATTCAATGGATTAAAAAGTGGCTAACTGATAGATCTCAAAGTAATTGTAATGGCGAATCATCCTCCAATGGGGATGTTTCTAGTGAGGTTCCACAGGGATCTGTTCTGGGCCAATGCTATACAATAGCTTTATCAAAGAGTTGGAAGGAAATATAAAATCATTGATGGTAAAATTTGCAGATGACCCAAACATTGGTGGAGTGGTACATGATGATGGGGACAGGTCAGTACTACAGAGTGACCTGTATTGCTTGGTAAGGTGGGTTCACACTAACAACATGCTGTCATGGATCCACAGGACCAGTGCAATGGCCTGAGTGAAAATTCCCATTTTGTCAAACATGTATTTCAACATGGTCAAATGCCAGGTCACACATCTATGAACAAAGAATACAGGTCACACTTACGGGATGGGAGACTGTATCCTGGAAAGCAGTGACTCTGAAAAGGACTTGAATGTGAGCTCCCAGACTGATGCTGGAGCTAAGACGGTGAACGCAATCCCTGTATGTATAAATGAGAATAGCTAGCAGGGGAAAGTAGGTGACATCACCCCTGTGTGTGGTGTTAGCCAGACCAGTACTGGATACTGTGTCTAGTTCTGGTGTCCACACTTTCATATGGGAAGCTTACAAATTGGAAATTGCTCAGAAAATAACTACAAGAACAATCAGAAGTCTGGAAACCTGCCTCATAGTTAGAATCATAGGAACTCAAGTTATAGAGCTTATCCAAGCGGAGGTTAAAAGGTGACTTGATCACAGTCTGTAAGTACCTACACAGGGGGAAGATTTCTGACAGTCGATAGGTCTGATGGCTGGAAGTCGAAGCTAGACAAATTCAGACTAGAAATAAGGTGCAAATTTTTAACAGTGAGGGGAATTAACCATTGGAATAAGTGACCTAGAGATGTAATGGATTATCCCTTACTTGGAATCTTTAAACCCAAACTAGGCGTCTCTTTCTATAAGATCGGTTGTGGCTGGAACAGAAATTCTGGGCTGGATGCAGGGATCACTGCGGGAGGGTCTCTGGCCTGGGTTGTACAGGAGGTCTGACTAGATGGTCATAATGCCTCCTTTTGGCCTTAACATCTATGCATTCATCAACTCAGAACACACTGGGGCCAACTAGGAAAAAAATGTTCTCTGCTGAACTTATCTGGACTGGACATGGTGACTGAGAACTGGCAACTGTGTGACAGTGACCATCCGAGCAGCCAGCTGGTGCAGGCAGGGCTGGGCAGGCTGGGCACGGAGCCGCTGGCTGTTGGCTTGTAGCAGTGGGAGGGATTTGGGCAGAGCAGAGTCCTGGTTCTTGGAACTGATGCTGCGCTGGCTTCTCTGGTTTCAATGGCTCCATATGTGGCTGTGATTTGAGTGTGGAGGGGACGTTTCCTTCATTCCCATGGATTTCTGGGCTCCCTGAGCCAGGACTCAGCTGTCAAACCAAGTGGCAAACCCCATTCTCCAGCTCTAGGATGGGACCGTGCTCCTCACACTCTGTGCTCTCTGTTTGCCAGGTGACGTCTTCCCCCGGGTTTCTCCCTGGCTGGCTGCATTCTGGGTATTGTTCGCTCTGGTTCTCATTGCTGCTGGAGCTTGTGCATATCTTGGATACACAGGTAATGGGAATGTGTTACTTGCATGTTTAGAGCCTGGTCCTAGAGGGCACTGGGGTGGGGCATGGGAGTGTCTTATTGTTCAGATATTGACCTTTGGCTGGTTTTAGGAAATAAACCAAACTAACAAACACACTGGGGTCCCCACCCCCACCTGTATTAGTGTATTGCTCAGTGTTTCCCCTTCCTTCCCTGTCTCACTGCAATATCTGATTCTCTGTCTTACAGCGAAGCAAAAGGCCTCTCAGAAGAAACGCTCTAAAGAGGAGGCTCTGTCACTTCTTGGTAGGTCTCCTGCTCTAGCCCTTGCTCTGCCTGTTGAGATGTGTGAGCTCTGTGACTGCTTGGTGTTTTCTGTGGGCTCAGTGCAATGAAAGGGATGGAGCCAGAAGGTTTCTGCCCAGTGAGACCTCATTTCCCTCACGTTCTCACACACCCTGATGATAACAGGTTGGAAAATGTGTATTTTGCAGCGGATACCCAAGGCTCTGTGCTTGTAAGATTCTCTGCATGTGGGTGGGGCAGGGACACAGGCCTGCAGTAACAAATCTGGGTCAGATTCTGTCCTACTAACCCTGGATAATTGCTTGGTGGTTCTGTTCTCCTTAAAGGAAACGACACAACAAGGTCAATGACTCTCTGTGAGATGATTCCATCCCTGTGACTTTCTAATGCACAGGACACAGGGAGGGTGATTAACCCCTGGCACAAGCTGCCAAGAGCAGTGGGGAATTCTCCATCTCTTGATGTCATCAGATCCAGACTGGGCACCTTTCTGGAAGGTGCTGTAGCTAAACACAAGTTATTGGGCTCAGTGCAGGGGGAACTGGGTGAGATTCTCTGGCCTGTGCTCTGCAGGTGGTTAGAGCAGATGACCTAATGGTCCCTTCTGGCCTGAAACTCTATTAATATGTGACATTCACTTGCTTGTGCTGTGGTAATAGACACAGCAGCACCTTTTTTTAAAAAAGTCCATACATCTAATTTATTCCTCTGTGAACTTTTCTATACTTAATAATGATATTGGTTTGCACTGTGATGGTGCTGAGTGGTGCTGACCTGTTCTGCTGGGCAGTGCGCAGACTCACAGGGAAATATAGATGAAAGGTGCAGAGAACATGCCAGCACGGTGACCGGAGTTCTTAGGGCAATCACAGCGTGGAAGAGCCCTGAGGATTCCCCCCTTTCATTTCCTTTGCCCTCTGCCATGCCCTCTTGTGGCCACCATTCCTCCAGCTCCGGAAGGATGCATGGGATTCCCCTAGCAATCAGTGCTGTTCTGTAACCAGCTACAGGGGTCGCTGTGGAGTAAGTGACCCCGTCCCAATGGTTCTACTGGCCCTGCTGCAGCAGCCCAAGGCCTGCGCTACATGCAGCCCTGTCCCAGTTTAATTCAAGGTATGTTTTGAAACCTAATTAGTTAAATTGGTGCAAGTGTGTGTGTAGACAAGGGCTAAGGAGTGAGAGACTCCCCAGGTCTCCTGTGTGTTGGTGCATATCACTGACTGCCAGCCCTGCTCCTGTCAAATCTACCGGCTCTAGCTCTGGGGCTGGGAGTGTGGGTGTGGGGTGTCTGTGACTAACTCCAGTCACTAGGGAGTGTACAGCACCACCCATTGTGTGTCTCTGGGTCTAATGCTTTTCTCTTCCCCATTTCAGAGACTGAGAAGATGACCTGGGAATCAGGTACTTGACTAAACCCTAGTAAATGTGTGTTTGTGCTTTCATACAATAATGAGATAGAAATATCACCACATACATAGGTGCTCGACCCCCCCCGTCCGCCCCAGACCCCACATCACTCCACCCCTTCCTCCAAGCCCCCACCTCTTCCCACCCCTGATCCGCCCCCACCCCGCCCCCATTCCAATCTTTCTCCCACGTCCCTGCCCCTGCTCTGCCCCCGCCACGCTCCTTCCCCCAAACCCCCACTCTGCCTCTTCCCCGCCTCCTCCCCCTAGTGCACCAAGTCCCCACTCCTCCCACTTCCTCCTGGAGCTTCCTGAATGCCACAAATCAGCTGTTCACAGTGCTCTGGAAGCACTGGGGGGACAGGGAAGGAGTTGGTAAGCGAGGCCACGAGCAGGTGAGAGGTGCAGTGGGGAGGGAGGCAGAAGCGGGAGCTTGGCTGCTGGAGGGTGCTCCAGGCCTGGAGCACCCACAGAGTTGGCACCTATGACCACATACAATGTACACACTTCAGTCACCTTCATGATCATCTCCCCCTACCCTGGAAATAAACAAACACTGCAGATTTTGGAGCTCACGTTCTTAACAACAGAGAGTGAATTTAATGCGTCTGGAATGGCGGGACTCAAGCTATGTCTACACTGCCCAATGTTCAGATTACAGGAGTGTGAAAAGCAACGCGCACCAAAGAACTGCACTGTAATAACCCCATGTGGATACTCTGGGTGTGCACCAAAAGGTTCCTAGTTCACATGAACAGAGTCATGTTTGAAGAAGACTATGTCAGTGCGAACTAAGTACCATTTAGTGTGCACCACCAGCATCCGCATGGGGCTATTCTAGCACAGCACTTTGGTGTGTGCTGCAAATTATAGTCACGTAGGCCAAACTATGGGCTATGTAGACAAGCCCTTAGTGAGGGGCTGGGCAAACTTCCTTCATGAAGGTCTGTGGCTACATCTCAATTCTGACCTGCAAAATCCCTGCTATCCCGATGCTGGGCTCCCTGCACGCACACAGCTCTGCCAGTGCCCTTCAGTGCCCAGCTGCAGCCCCCTGCTATTCCAGCCCTGAGCTCC